TACCTTAACCCGAGTCCGAGCAAACTCTCACTCGGGGACTATCTATAAAGCCTAAGGGCAAACTTTACTTCGAGTTCGAGCAAATCCTCACTCGATCATAAGAGCCCAGGGCTACCTTAACCCGAGTTCGAGCAAACTCTCACTCAGGGACTATCTATAAAGCCTAAGGGCTAACTTTACTTTGAGTTCGATCAAATCCTCACTCGATCATAAAAGCCCAAGGCCTATCTTAACCCGAGTTTGAACAAATTCTCACGCGGGGACTATCTATAAAGCCTAAGGGCTAACTTTACTTCTGTTCAAGCAAATCCTCACTCGACCGTTAAAGCCTAAGAGCTACTCAAACTCTAGTTCAAATGGTCATTCGGGGTCCATCGATCTCGGTTGAAAGAACAAAGCCCCGAGTATGGATGTCTTCAAAGGTCTCCCTCTGAAACCAACACTTGGTGCGCTCCTTAGCTCGAACCTGAGCGGTTTCGTTTTGCGGAACAGTTCTAGATGTTTTGGCCATTTTGTTAGCAAGGAAAAATGGAGATTGGAATATTTGGTATTTCGGGAAGAACAAGCTAAGAAGCTCGAAGATTCAATTCGTTTTTTGTCATTACACTCTAAGAAACGCGGGGACTATCTGTATACGGTCGAAATCAAGTATGCCCGATTTCACGGGCGTGAAGATTCTCTTCAAGCCCGAGTTCTGGGTAGATCGAGTTCAAGCCCGATGGACCAAGCTTGAGCCCGATGGCGGAGTACAAGGCTCGAAGATCGAAGTGCGCGATGGGCACCGAAGCCGAGTATGACCAACTCCGAAATAATGCCGTTACGGGTTTGTAACAGAAAGAGCAAGATTCTCGCCACGTCCCCAAGATCATGGCGTAAATTCCAGAATAAATTTGTACGAGTTAGTACGAATCCGTACTAGGCGGTTAGATAGCTGTCCCATAAGATTCCTTATTTTAAATAGAAATGTACCTTATTCTAGGGTTTCCCTACTATATGAAGGGGCCCTCAATCATTTGTAACAATCAATCATTAACAAAAAATATACTCTCTTACTCTCTTGTTCATATTTCATCAGAATTGTCTCTTAACTTTATTATCTTTACTTTATTGTTCTTGCTGACCCACCTCGAGGCCATCTAGCTCGAGGTCAGAACTTTCTTAAGTATTGGTTTGATTCAACTTTCTTCTCTTCACGTTTGATTTCTTAGTTATTAATTAGTATTGAACTAAATCACGTATCTTTAAAACTACAAACATATTTAATTGTTACTCGTATTTCGAGGTAAACAGATACAATACTCTTTAGGAATACGAAGATAATTGCCCAATTGCCTGCTCTTTCCACGGCCATGCTAATGGCAGTTATCGTCTCCCAATTCTTGACTTAGCTGCTTAATTCCTGTGTTTTATTTTCTCTATATAAAGAATATGTGATAAGAGTTATGTTTCTTTGGTAGGACATAAAAATGGTTAGACATAGCAACATTTCAGGGATATTTTTGTTGTTCAATTTTTAATATGAATTATTCGTGTTTTTATAATAATATAGATATAGATATAGATATATATAAATATAAATAAATATAGATATAAAGTACGGGAATTTAAGGGGTAATCAAAGTGAATTACAAATTAAGTTTCTGGTTCCACGTAATTGATTGGAATAAATTGTGTAAAATGAAAATAAAGAGAGCAAAGTGAGCTAACGCCCTTAATTAACAGCTTGTTTGGATGGTTGTTCCTATTGTATCGTATTGTATTGTTATCCCAAAATAATGTTTGTTTTGATTGTTTCATTAAAATTGATTATATTGTATTGTTAAATCCATTGTTCTGAAACAATAAAAAGTCCTCTTTTTTGAACAACCGATTTGGTGTGGTGAGATTGTTTCCTATTTTTCTTTCCAATTATGCACTAACTTATTACTCCACAATTCTATTTTACCATTTACTCTTTTTTTTTCTATTTTAACTCCAAATGTCCAACCTATAACCTACTTTGTTTTTTTTCGAGAACTTCTGCCGCCAACGTTAAAGGTGTTTTGCCGCCTTCTGTTTTATTTTTTCTCCTAATTTGTTTTTAACTCAATTCTAATTAGTTGTGCACCTTTGTTTTGCATTCTTCTGTCTCGCTCCTTTGTTCTGCTTTCTTAAGGTGTTTTGCCTTCTTCTGTTTTGTTTTTTAAAATTATTTTTATGCATAATTTTTAATTAATTTAATATTTAAACAATTGAGGGTATTTAGTAAACTTATCAGTTACAGTACAGTACGATACAGTGAATCCAAACAGCAAAATATTATTTAACAATAATAAATAATACAATCTATCCGAATATTGTATTCATAAAACGATACAATACAGTACAATACATTATAAATCGATAGGGAACAATGATCCAAATCAATTTTTTCCTCCGATTAGTGTTAAATATTTATTCTTTGGTAAATCATTTTAATAGTTTAAAAATGACAAAATATTAAATTAAAGAGAGAATTCAATAATTACGTATTTTACAAACATTCTTACGTCATGCCAGTCGCCAGAGACCAACTCTTAGTTACGTTATTATATATGTGAACGAAATTAAACACTAATCTTTATTACTAGTCCTAGACTCCTATCCTAGTATACTTTCCCAATCTCTTTAATTTCTGTTTGGAAAATCATGTATAATTATCTAGCAGTGTAATTACTAGATAGTAATTATATACCCTGGTAATTATACAGTATAGTAATTATATATATATATATATATATGAGTGTGTGTGTATGTGTAAATAATAAATATAAAAAATTAATTTATTATGAGGTACTTCTAATAAATAGTTTGTCTAAAAATATATTAAATAATTCTAATTGGTAAATAATATCACAAAAATTAATCGGGCTCGTACAAATAAATAATCTTATTATTTAAATCAATTAATAAAAGTTCTATAACGCATTTAAACCAACTCACATATATAAGAAAGTTAGATGTGAGCTTAGAAAGAGTAACCGCTATCTTAACTATTTTTCAAATAATTAATATCTTAATTTAAAATAATTGGACACATAATTTTAGTGCACGTACCTGTAGGCTGTAGGTAATTGATATGCAAATCCTGTTCTGATTTAATATGCTTAGTAAACATTTTAAAACTTCAGAAAAAATAAATGTACAAGCTATTAGATGAAACATGCTGATCCGAAAGGGGACTAAGAGCTTGTTTGGCCAAACTTAAAAAATAGCTTATTTTTGATAAGTGCTTTTTTTCCAAAAGAGCTATTAAAAAAGTATTGTTGGTGAGAAATAATTTGTGATAGGCTAATTAATTTGAAAAACACTTATGAGCAGCAATTAGTATTTGGTCAGACTTTTAAAAAGTGCTTCTAAGTGTATTTTCTCAAAAGTGCTTTCAAAAAAATATTTTCGGGGAGAATTTATAACTTTTTGCTTCTCCAAAACTGCTTCTGCTTCTACTCAAAAATATTTTTTTTGCTTCTAAAAGTTTGGGCAAATACTTCAACTTTAAAAAAAGAGCATTTTTTTCGGTTTGGAGAATTGGCCAAAGAGGCTATAAAAGATTAGTTTTCTATTATTATTATTATTATTCTTTTTAAAAAGAAAAACTTGTAGTAGTTGAAAATGTATAAGGACCGCGTTTTTCCCATCACCTATTTTTTTAATTATTAAAAAGTTGACTATGGTCTCTTGATCAGTGGCCATGGATGGGACTCCTATCTCGTCATCTTATATTGCAAGGAAGATGCCATGTCGGATTTCAACTTGCAAAGAAGATCCAAACATATGTATTATACTCTCTTTTGCTTTAAATAAGATATCTTAAAATTCATATTTATCATATCCTTATAATTTTAACAATAATAGACTTTGAAACAGTCTAACAACACTCATAAATACAAAATCACAACTATAACTGTTCAATCTCTAACTAATCGAGTGATCAGTTATACGAATATCCTTAATAATATTTCCTTTAAACTCATTTTACTTGAATAGTACTCAATATATAGGAAGCTCATACAGACATAAAATAGTGTGTGTTTAATTAGTTTCACCAAGTAGTTGCACTTAGAGTATGCTGCAAGGCATTATAGTTTTAAGAAGGATACTGATCAGTTGAATAGTAGTCGTCGTTTAGGATGAATCTGGTAGTTTAATATATAATATTATTATACTAAACAATACTTTATTACTATAAAAACAAACGATGTACAACACTTGGCATGTATCCTTGGACGTATACTGTATACACATGACATGTACATACATTAATATATTTAAGTTATATATACGTAAAGAATTTTTACACTAATCTATCAATTTAACTTATTAATTATATTAAGTTATTAATATTCTATTTTATAGAAACTTACATGTTAATTACATTCATATACTTGTTCGCCGGCCTTGTAAATTAAGAGCCAACAACGTGAGATTTTTAAAGATAGCCAGATTTACAACTGGTCGTTCAAAAATAGCCCAATTTCAAAAGTAATCGAAATTTAGCCACTTTTATGTGAAGATAAATCTGAGCGAAAATACTGTTCAAAACCCGGAAAATACTCCAGTATATTATGCTGGAGTTCCAACATAAGTATACTTGAACTCCAGCATATTATACTGGAGTTCCAGGATAGTATGCTGGAACTCCAGCATAATATGATGGAGTTCCAGCATAAGTACACTAGAACTCCAGCATAATATGCTGGAGTTCATACACAAGTGCACCGAACTCCAGTATATTATGCTGGACCGGTCTCTATTGCAGCAAAACAGTGGCTATTTTTCATTGATTTGGTAAATGCTGGCTATTTTTGATTGACCAGTCCGAAAACTGGCTATACCGTGCTATTTTTACGCCAGCAACTGGCTAGGAACAAGACAATTTGAAAGAAGAAAATTAAAGGAAGGGTGAAAAAAGGACATATTTGGTCACCTACAAAGGAAAAAAGGAAGATTTTCCTTGTCCCAACCTCCATAACCTTTATTTCTAATCTACATACATCTATCACCTCCTTACCTTTTTTTTTTCTTTTGAGGAAACTATATCGAACAATTATCTCTAAGACATGAAAATGCAAAAACTCGAAGATCACCACTCCGACAGGGAGGTTATTGAGAATATTGATAATAGTACTCAGTCAAACGCCTTCACATGTAATGATGACACGTATGTTGAAATCACCCTCGATGTCCGCGAGGACACCATGGCAGTCCACAGTGTCAAAAATGCCAGTGGGGCTAATGTAGAGGAAGCAGAGCTACAGGTGCTGGTGCTGGCCAAAAATATAGAGAAGAAACAATCTTTTGGGACCTCAGTCGTTAGGAATAGTTCGATAAGGATGCAGCAGGTGGCTCAAGAGCTTAAGCCCTTGGCTGCTATGAAGAAACAACAGCCACATCCCTCTCGGCGATTTGATCGGACCAATTCAGTAGCAGCTCATCATGCTCTCAAAGGCCTCAAATTTATCAGCAAAACTGATGGCGGCGCTGGATGGGCCGCCGTCGAGAAACGTTTCGAGGTGCTTAGCGCCACCTCAGAAGGCTTACTCCCTCGGGGAAAATTTGGAGAATGCATAGGTAAAAAGGCGAGAGTTTAAGTTTTGTGCACTGATTGCGTATAATTATTTTACGTTATCACGTTAAAGTATATAGAGGCATAATTATTTATAACGAGTTTGATATGGTATTACATAAAAAAAGAGTAAATAACAAGTTGTAATCGGTGAAAAAATTAATAATGCTAAAGGCAGAGCCAAGATTTCACCTTTATGGGTTCTCGATTATGAAACGACGACTTCAGGTACTAACAACTGGGTTCTAAATTTTATATTTGCATATATTTAATGAATTTCATAACACAAATACACTATTTGAGCCAAAGCTACTGGACTTGGCCAAATTCATTGTCGGGCTTCTAGCTTTGCCCCTGGATAGTGCAATGCAGTCGGTATATATAAATTAAATCAAAAGATTATAGTCTCAACTACACAAGAAAACGTATACGTTTGTTTCATCATAATTTCTTGTATAATATTTCATCTTTTCTACTTGTACATATTGATTTGTTTGAGCTTGTTTAATTAATTGGAAATATTGGCTTTCAATAATAGGTATGAATAGGGAATCGAATGAATTTGCAGTAGAGCTTTTTGATGCGCTAGCTCGGAGGAGAAATATAACAAGTCATTGCATCAGCAAAGTACAGCTCAAAGAGTTTTGGGACCAAATTGCCAACCAATGTTTTGATGCTCGGCTTCGAACCTTCTTTGACATGTAAGGATTAAAATTCGACATTTATTGAAAAGACATCTCTAAATATTGGTATTTGTTTCATTATTGCTATAACCAATTTTTGGATTCTGTTATTTTATGAATTATGATGATTGTATTGCAGGGTTGATAAAAATGCAGATGGTAGAATCTCAGAAGAAGAAGTCAAAGAGGTATAGACGGAATAACATACGATACATTGACATATTAAAGAATTTTTGCACTATCAGTTTGATGTAACAAGATATAGTGGATTACTATATCAGGCTTCTTACGAAGAGCTATCTTTTAGTATATGTTGACCTTGGCCACGGGACCGGCTCAATGAGCACCTTTGGGCAGTGTTTTCTTGATCAACTATTTGACTTATTCAAAATGACGGTGAACCAAAACTGAAGAAGTGCAATGCAAAAGAACGCCTTTTTTCTGGAGGCCTCGGGCAGTGGAAAATGAACATTCGCTAAGGAATAGCTTGAACTAAGAGGAAGTGAAGTAATACTTGGCCAATTCCGCGGTATTCATTGAAGACTTCGCACGTACCCTTGCTAATTCTTTTTCTAATACTAAGGCCGCATATATGTACTCATTAGTAGGAAAATGCCCTTCGCTTCAAAACAATCGATCATGGTGCCATCTGCGCTTCTTCTGACTATTGAAAGTGGACAACAACAACAACAACAACAACATACCCAGTAAAATCCCACAATAAATAGGATTTGGAGAGGATAGTGTGTACGCAGACCTTAACCCTACCTAACTAGTGAAAGTGGAAGTTCTTAATACGATACTGTAAACCATCCATTCACCGTCGGTGCATAGAACTAATTAAACTCTTTATGTTATCTAGTACTACCGTCTTCTCCAACTTTTCTTGAATTTTGGAAACAAAAAATGGCAGAGTAGCACTATAATTGACAAAATCTACCATTTTCTGTGCAGATTATTAGCCTAAGCGCATCTGCTAATAAGCTGTCAAATATCCAGAAACAAGCAGATGAATACGCAGCATTGATCATGGAAGAGTTGGACCCCGACAACATGGGATACATCATGGTTAAATTCTAAAGACCCTTTCAATTCTCAACTTAAAAATAAATATTATTTTTCAATTGGTGATGCTCTGATCAACAGATTGAGAACTTGGAAATGCTTTTATTACAAGCTCCAAATCAATCAGAAGGAGGAAAAGGCCTGAACAGGAACCTAAGTCATATGCTAAGTTTGAAGCTTAAGCCAACAGTGGAGACTAATCCCATAAAAAGATGGTATAAGAATTTGAACTACTTTTTGCTGGATAATTGGCAGAGAATTTGGGTGGTTTTATTGTGGATTGGAGCAATGGCTGGCTTATTTGCTTATAAGTATGTACAATACAGAAACAGAGCAGCATTTGATGTTATGGGTCACTGTGTTTGTATGGCAAAGGGAGCTGCTGAGATACTTAAGCTCAATATGGCATTGATTTTACTACCAGTCTGCAGAAATACCATTACTTGGCTTCGAAACAAGACCAAATTAGCTGCTGCTGTTCCCTTTGATGATAACCTTAACTTACACAAAGTAAGCTATTCTTATTTTTCTCCTTTTTTTTTCAATTTTCTATTCAAATGGGAGTCTTGGAGCAACAGTAAAGTTGCTCCTTGTGACCTATAGGTTACGGGTTCGAGCAGTAGAATCAGCCTCTGATATTTGCATTAAGGTAGGCTGCCTAGGTCACACCCCCTTGGGGTGCAGCATTTCCCCGGACCCAATGTGAATGTCAGCAGCGAAGCTAGGAATTCCACGAAGGGTGTTCAAAATTTAATACACACATAAAAAAAAATTGACTTATATACACAATATTGTTGGACTTTAAAGGCATTGGGCTTCAAATACTTTAAGCATTGGGCTTTAAAGTCTAAGAGTGTGAATTGAAAATGGTGGAAAATAAAATGGAGGGAAATGAAAATTTGAATAAAGTGAGCTTTTGACTTGCACTTTGTCCCTCATTAGTGAGGGACAACTACATTTGTGTGCTTATATATAGAATCACTTCTTAAATCTCTTAAAAGGAGTTGAAGAGAATGAACCCTCGCGCCGTCGTCGTCGCTCGCTCGGCTCGGCTTCGGCTTCGGCTTCGGATCGATCGATAAGATTATTTTTGGACAAAATTTATTTAATAATTAATTAAATGCCAGATCACTACTGAAGATTCAGAAGGATAGTCTGGCCGCGGTCCTGGCGTAACCGCGGTAGTACCGCGCCAGAACACTGCTGCAGATTCAGAAGGCTAGTTTGGCCGCGGTCCTGGCGTAACCGCGGTAGGACCGCGGCAGGACGCGTAAACGTTTGAACAGATACCTTTTCCAGAACAAACATCACACCTCTTCCAATAATTGCCTATAGATTCTGAGGCATGACTTCGTTTTTAACACACCAAAAACATTACAGAACTTCCTTCTTTCTGAAAATACTGAATTCTAATTCGCAGTCTCTCTCTCTCAAATTCGTAAGTGTGATTTTGCTCCGTTCTTTAAGTTCGTTGGTATCCTGCAGTTTGTATTGCCACTGTTGCAGGAAGGTTTATTCCGTTTCATCCTGGGAGGATTTAATCCATTACCTTGGCAACTTGTGAGGGGGTTAAAATTCCTTAAGGACTCACAAGCAAATTGTGGACTCGGAATATTTCTTATTCTTTACTGTTTTCCAGTTTCTTTTATTCTTCTAACAGTTTTCTGATTTTGTGTTTTAACACAGTAGCGGACAATAAGCTTAAGGAAATTTTAATACTAACGTTTCTGTGTTGAAATATATATTAAACTGTTATTTATATTTTGTATACTGGTTTGGAGACTAAAGCCTTCGTGCTTTCTACTCCAATAATTGTTCTGTCCGGTTTAAAGTATATCAAAACTTTAACGGAATAATAAACGTACGGGTTTGAAGTATATAAAAACTTCACCATTGTTACATGTTATATGTTTGGTTTGGTATTCAGTTTGAAGATATCAAAACTTCACTGATTTAACAAAGTTCTGTTTTGTTTCCAACTCTACAGAAAAATGATGAATGAAAACCAAACTAATGGAAATGTTGCGGGAACGGGTGCTACTGTTACGAATATTGCTGCCTCGTCAAGCCGTTCAACTCCTGCTCATGCTATGGCACCAACAGAAAAACCCGGAAAGTTTTTCAGAATCGACTTCAAACGTTGGCAAATGAAGATGCTCTTCTATCTTACTACGTTGAGTTTGTAGCGATTTATCAAGGAGGATCCTCCGGTCCTGGCTGAAGGTACTCCGGATGACGAACGATTTGTTGTAACTGAAGCATGGAAACATTCTGATTTCTTGTGCAAAAACTACATTTTGAGTTGTTTGGAAGATAGCTTGTACAATGTCTATAGTGTCATGGAAACTTCAAAAGCGTTATGGAATGCGCTTGAGAAGAAGTATAAGACTGAGGATGCTGGACTTAAGAAGTTCGTGGCTACAAGGTTTTTGGATTTCAAGATGATTGACACTAGGTCGGTCATAACTCAAGTCCAAGAATTACAAGTCATTGTGCATGACCTCCTTGCTGAAGGTATGGTCATAAATGAGGCCTTTCAAGTTGCCGCTTTCATTGAGAAGTTACCTCCGTTGTGGAAGGACTTTAAGAACTATCTTAAACACAAGCGGAAGGAAATGACACTAGAAGACTTGATTGTTCGTTTGAGAATAGAAGTAGACAACTAAAATGCTGAAAAGAAGTCACGTGGAAACTCGACAATAATAAGGGCTAACATTGTTGAGGAGGCGCCACAAAATAAGAAGAGAAAGAAGGCTTCTCGACCAAAGAATTACCCAAGCAAGAAAAAGTTCAAGGGTAATTGCCACAACTGTGGAAAATCTGGGCATAAGGCCGTGGATTGTCGTGCACCAAAGAATGATAAGAAGAAGAAGAAAAAAGCTAACATGGTTGAAAATGCTGAAGAAATGAAGGACTTGTGTGCCATGTTGTCTGAATGCAACTTGGACCAGACGAGGCAATTTTCATGGGAAATTCGTCTACAGCCAAAATTGAAGGAGTTGGCAAGATTGCGTTGAAGATGACGTCGGGAAAAATAGTGACACTAAACCAAGTTCTCCATGTTCCAGAAATTCGCAAGAATCTTGTGTCTACCTCACTTCTTGTCAAGAATGGATTCAAATGTATTTTTGTTTCTAATAGTGTTGTACTAAGTAAGAATGATGTGTATGTTGGAAAAGGTTACCTGAATGAGGGCCTTTTTTAAGCTAAATGTAATAGCAGTTCCTATCAATGAAGTTAATGCTTCTTCTTACTTACTTGAGTCAAACACTTTATGGCATTCACGCTTAGGTCACGTCAACTTCAAAACATTGCGAAAAATGATAAATTTAGAAGTATTGCCAAAATTTGATTGCATTAATTCCAAATGTCAAATATGTGTGGAATCAAAGTATGTTAAGCATCCTTACAAGTCCGTTGAAAGGAATTCAAGTCCTTTAGACTTAATTCACACAGATATTTGCTATATGAAGTCAACACCATCTCGCAGTGGAAAAAAGTATTTTATTACTTTTATTGACGATAGCACGAGATATTGCTATGTTTATTTACTTAATAGTAAAGATGAGGCAATTGATGCTTTCAAGCAATACAAGAGTGAAGTTGAAACATAACTAAACAAAAAGATCAAAATGATAAGATGTGATAGGGGTGGCGAATATGAATCTCCTTTTGAAGAAATATGTTTGGAAAATGGCATTTTCACCAAACAATTGCCCCTTACTCTGCACAATCTAATGGAATTGCGGAGAGAAAGAATCGAACGTTTAAAGAGATGATGAATGCGTTATTGATAAGTTCTGGTTTACCACAGAACTTGTGGGGGGAAGCTATACTTACAGCTAACCGAATAATCAACCGTGTACCTCATAGTAAAACACAGTCCGTTCCTTATGAAAAATGGAAAGGAAGGAAGCCCAGCTTGAAATACTTCAAAGTGTGGGGGTGTTTAGCTAAGGTACAAGTTCCTAAACCTAAAAGGGTTAAGATAGGTCCAAAAAAGGTTGATTGTGTATTTATTGGATATGTAACCAATAGCAAGGCATCGTTTTCTGGTTCATAAGTCAGAAAATCCTGAGATTCACGTTAATACGATAATAGAATCAGATAATGCTGAATTCTTTGAAACTATTTATCCGTATAAAAAGGAAAGTGAAGTGACCTACCAAAAGTCAAAACGACCTCGGGAGGAAATAACAGATGGTATGCCTAATGAGGAAAATCCGAGAAGAAGTAAACGTCAACGGGCATCTACTTCATTCGGTCCAGATTTTCTGACTTTCCTGCTAGAAAATGAGCCTCGTACCTTCAAGGAAGCAATGTCTTCCTCAGAAGCACAATATTGGAAAGAAGCTGTCAATAGTGAAATAGAATCCATATTGAGCAATCATACCTGGGAATTGGTTGATCTTCCTCCAGGTAACAAAATATTGGGTTCTAAATGGATTTTCAAGAAGAAAATGAAAGACGATGGTACTATTGACAAATACAAGGCAAGACTTGTTGTCAAAGGATTTAGACAGCGAGAAGGTCTTGACTATTTTGACACATACTCGCCGGTAACAAGAATTACATCCATTCGAATGCTAATAGCGTTAGCCGCCTTGTATGGTCTTCAAATCCATCAAATGGATGTAAAAACAGCCTTCTTAAATGGTGATCTAGAGGAAGAAATTTACATGGACCAACCTGAAGGGTTTGTGGTTCCGGGAAAAGAAAAGAAGGTGTGTCGACTTGTTAAGTCCTTTATGGACTAAAACAAGCACCCAAGCAATGGCATGCGAAATTTGACCAAACAATGTTGTCAAATGGCTTTAAGATTAATGAATGTGATAAATGTGTTTACATTAAGAACATTCCAAATCATATAGTCATTGTTTGCTTATATGTTGATGATATGCTAATAATGAGCAAAGACATTGCCGACATTCAAGCTACTAAGCGTATGCTTGCTAATAAGTTTGATATGAAAGACTTAGGAGTTGCCGATGTAATTCTAGGAATTAAAATCCAGAGGACTCCTCAGGGTCTAGCTTTGTCTCAATCACATTACGTGAAAATGGTACTTGAAAAATTCAAACACTTGGAATTTAGAAGTGCAAGAACTCCAATTGACTTAAATCATCATCTTATAAAGAATAAAGGTGAAAGTACGTCTCAATTGGAGTATGCTCGTGTGTTGGGAAGCTTAATGTACATCATGAACTGTACACGACCTGATATAGCTTGTGCAATAAGTAAACTTAGTCGATTCACAAGTAATCCAAACAAACATCACTGGGTGGCAATGAAACGAGTTCTGGGATATTTGGAATATACCCAAGACTACGCTTTGCACTACAATAAATATCCTGCGGTTATCGAAGGATATAGTGATGCAAATTGGATAACTGGCTCAACAGAAACAAAGTCCACAAGTGGATATGTTTTTACTGTTGGTGGAGGAGCAGTATCTTGGAAGTCTTCCAAACAAACGTGCATTGCTCGCTCTACAATGGAATCAGAGTTTATAGCTTTGGATAAAGCCGGTGAAGAAGCTGAATGGCTTCGAAATTTCTTAGAAGACATTCTGTTCTGGCCAAAACCTTTGGCTCCTATTTGCATACATTGCGATAGTGAGGCTGCAATAGGACGGGCAGGGACCGTTATGTATAACGGAAAGTCTCGTCATATACGACGAAGACATAACACCGTTAGACAACTACTTTCTAGTGGAATTATCACTATTGATTATGTAAGATCAAAGGATAATGTGGCGGATCCGCTTACAAAAGGCTTAACTAGAGAGGGAGTTGAGAAATCATCTAAGGGAATGGGACTATGGCCGAGGACAAGTCAACATGGCGGTAACTCTACCTAGAATTTTGGATGTTCCGAGATATAGGTTCAAGGAGATCAAACAAAGTTGTGATTGACCGGTTCAACATTGTCAAAGTAAAATCTTTGGTCCCTTCTCGTGATGAAGATAATGTTCAGTAACAAGGATAGAACTTTACACGTTCTTTAATGATTACCTAAGTTTGATGTGGTATTTATCAAATAGTTTAGGAATCACCTATGTAAGTGTGAAGTGGAAGCCGCTTCAATGAGAATTTTATAAGGCCAATTCTCTACACACTTATGAAACCAGGCGGTGTTCATGGCTGAAACGAACACAACAATGAGAACCAAAAGATGGTTAAGGGTTGGTTGTGTGACATATGGTTGTCTAGGTATACACTAAAGTTCGACGGTTTAAAGATATCAAATCTACCGATTGACCGAGTATATCCGACATATGTTCACTACGGAAAGTTCAAAGGGAAACCTACTTATCCAGATGCGATTAATCCTTACTTGCGAATCACACAGCTTTCATCTATGATCATTCTTGTTACAGCCATTCCCATTCATGTGGGGGATTGTTGGACTTTAAAGGCATTGCGCTTCAAAGACTTTAAGCATTGGGCTTTAAAGTCTAAGAGTGTGAATTGGAAATGGTGGGAAATAAAATGGAGGGAAATGAAAATTTGAATAAAGTGAGCTTTTGACTTGCACTTTGTCCCTCATTGGTGAGGGACAACTACATTTGTGTGCTTATATATAGAATCACTTCTTAAAGCTCTTAAAAGGAGTTGAAGAGAATGAACCCTCGCGCCGTCGTCGTCGCTCGCTCGGCTTCGGCTTCGGATTTGGATTTGGATTTGGATTTGGATTTGGATTTGGATTTATCAAATGATCGATCGATAAGATTATTTTTGGACAAAATTTATTTATTTAATTATTTAATAATTAATTAAATGCCAGATCACTGCTGAAGATTCAGAAGGATAATCTGGCCGCGGTCCTGGCGTAACCGCGGTAGGACCGCGCCAGAACACTGCTGCAGATTCAGAAGGCTAGTTTGGCCGCGGTCCTGGCGTAACCGCGGCAGGACGCGTAAACTTCTGAACAGACACCTTTTCCAGAACAAACATCACTCCTCTTCCAATAATTGCCTATAAATTCTGAGGCATGGTTTCGTTTTTAACACACCAAAAACATTACAGAACTTTCTTCTTTCTGAAAATAATGCATTCTAATTCGCAGTCTCTCTCTCTCAAATTCGTAAGTGTGATTTTGCTCCGTTCTTTAAGTTCTTTGGTATGCTGCAGTTTGTATTGCCACTGTTGCAGGAAGGTTTATTCCGTTTCATCCTGGGAGGATTTAATCCATTACCTTGGCAACTTGTGAGGGGGTTAAAATTCCTTAAGGACGCACAAGCAAATTGTGGACTCGGAATATTTCTTATTCTTTACTGTTTTCCAGTTTCTTTTATTCTTCTAACAGTTTTCTGATTTTGTGTTTTAACACAGTAGCGGACAATAAATATAAGTTTCGATATATACAATACAAATTTTCAATGAAGGGTGATCAGTTGACCACCCATCAATGTATGTGGACCAACTGCAATTTCAATTTTCTGTTCAATCCATATAGTATATACAACAATAATTCTGTCTCAATTCCAAGCATGTTCAAATCAGCTATATAACACTCCATTCAATGTCGTCACAACCCCATCAGTCCCGACATATTATGTACTGTGTATGCTGGTTATCAACCTACCACAACCCTCTTCCTTTATCCAAGACCGGCAATATGAGCAAGATTACACAAAAGTAAAAATAGTGAACTGAATAACATTTTTTCCCCGATATGTTGTACTATATATCTACGCGGTTCTTTTTTCCTTAGAATTCCCTTTTATTTAGATGATAGCAGTCTTGGATTCGATTTTTTTTAGTATTATTTTGCTGTTGTTCCTACTTGTTGTCATTACTTTAGCTGAGGGTCTATCGAAAATAGTCTTTCTGCCGTTCCGGGGTAGGAGTAAGGCTGCGTACATCTTACTCTCCCCATACCCCACTTGTAGGAACGCAACTCACTGAGTTTGTTGTTGTTGTTGTTATTTAGACGATGGCAGTGGCAATTGCAATTGGTGTTGGAATGCACGTACTTGCTCACATGACTTGTGATTTTCCAAGGCTACTAAAGGCTAGCCCAGAAAAGTATAAACCAATGGAGCCATACTTTGGTGATCAGCCCACAAGCTATTGGCATTTTGTGAAGGGAATTGAAGGGTTGAGTGGGATTATAATGCTGGTTTTAATGGCAATAGCTTTCACTCTTGCAACTCCTTGGTTTAGGAGGAATAGAATTAAATTACCAAAACCCTTCAACAAACTCACTGGATTCAATGCTTTCTGGTACTCCCACCACCTATTTGTCATTGTCTACACTCTCCTCATTGTCCATGGTATCAAGCTTTACTTGACCAAAGAATGGTACAAGAAAACGGTTAGTCTACTCATCTTTGACTTTTAGATTTTACCTATCAACACTAAATTCTTAATAAAATTAACTTTTATACGCTTGACAGTAGAAGAACCTTGTCACTATTAGCTTCGAGCAACTGTCTATAACGGCAGTTAATCTACTACAATATGTTAAAATATTATATTGATAGTGTCAAAGTTACTTATACTGTCAGCGTATATAAGTTAAATTATTTGTTAATGTAAGAATCATTTTTTCTACCCAGTTTATTGGAGAATAATTGCTAACAATGAGATTAATTTTCCCATTGGCAGACATGGATGTACTTGGCTATACCAATCATATTATATTGTGGTGAAAGATTACTTAGGGCATTCAGGTCAAGCATCAAGGATGTTAAAATTTTGAAAGTAAGTTGAATCCAAAATCTGTACATGCAGAAAATAATTTAAGTATTCATGAAAATCAAAGTTGTTGAGAGAGGCAATAAATTACATTATTATATTTAATATGTTGCTAGGTGGCTGTGTATCCTGGAAATGTGTTGGCACTTCATATGTCAAAACCACAGGGGTTCAAATATAAAAGTGGGCAGTACATGTTTGTCAACTGTGCTGCAGTTTCACCATTTGAATGGTAGGTGATGCTTAATAAATAATTGCTCTAAAACGTGTTTCCTTTTGTTGCCATTTAATTATGCTAATGCATCCTCTTCTTATTTTTATTTTTTTTTTGTGTGTTTTTTTGGGGGCAATGTGAAAGTTGCTGCCATGTGACCAGGAGGTCACGGGTCGAGTCGTGGAAACAGCCTCTTGCAGAAATGCAGGGTAAGGTTACGTACAATAGACCCTCGTGGTCCGGCCCTTTCCCGGACCCTGCGCATAACGGAAACTTAGTGCACCGGACTGCCCTTTGGGGCAATCAATCTTCTGTTGTCTATCTTAATGTCTTATGCACTTGCGGTGTAAAAAAAAATATTTACATGACAATTAAATAACTTGATAACAATGCTAATTAATTTGTTACAACATGGTAGATTAGGTTGATCATATACCCTATCATTGTGCATAAATTAAAGGCCAAATACATATGTAGGCCCTCAAACTTGTCCCTTTTTTTCATTTAAACACCTAAACTAAGTGTTGTTCCTTTTGAACACTTGAACTTGAACCTAAATGTGTCTATTAAATACATATTGCTGACATGGCAAAGTGTATGTGATGCGCTCAAGTATGAGCGCGTGAGGCTTTGTTTTTTATCAAAAAAATTCCTTTCTTCTTCTCCCTCTCTCCCCCCTGCCACCATCATCACCGTCACCCACCACCTTCCTCTGCTGCTCTCACCACAAAATTAATTCTACACAGAGGTTGAAATTCACTCACCTACACGCCACAAAATCATACAAAATTTACACATTATTCTCCACAGAGACACTAAGAGATACTTAAAGACTTCCTCCTTGCCTCCACCATAAGGCAACAAACTCGCTAGCCACCCTCATTCTTATTCTGTAAAATTATTTCATACTTCTTAGCCTCAATCAATAACTAACCAGGCCAAAATACTATTTGGTTTCAGAATTCTTAAGTGAAAGAAGAGCATATAAATAAATTATCTCTATAAAAGAATTTTCCTTGAAGTTGAGAGATCCATTCTCATTTTATGTTTTGCTATGTGCCACATAAATATTAACTAGAATATCAAAGAGATTTTGTAGGATTATTTCTCAAGTTATGATTGTCATGTGGCCACCTTCTCTCCTCGGTAAATCAGTTTCATTTTCTTTGTGGAGGTCTTGGGGGTGTTTGGGGGGGGGGGGGGTGTGGAGAAGAAGACGGAAGAGAGAGATTCGAATAAAAAAATTATAAAAGAAAGGTTTTTCTTTCACTTTCCACGTGTCACATATTGATTCGTTATTTATCATGAATAAAAGGTGTTTGAAAACACATGCTTAAGTTGTTCCAGAAAATATGGGATATGTGTTTAATAGGTACATTGAGTTTAAGTTCAAGGGTTCAATAGGAACAAAACTTAGTTTAAGTGTATAAATAAAAAAAAGGGATAAGTTTGAGGGTCTGCATATGTATTTGGCCTAAATTAAAAATACATACTTAAATATTGTGATGTACACATTTTATATTAGGCACCCATTTTCTATTACTTCAGCGCCGGGGGATAACTATGTCAGTATCCATATTCGAACTCTTGGTGATTGGACCAGCAAGCTCAGAGATGTTTTCTCCGAGGTAAGCATACAACTTTTTTTCTCAGAGGTAAGTATACTATATTCCCACTAATTTAATCGTTAATCATCGAATTTAGCTTAATCATAGTATATTGGTCAATGTTATTAATTAGGTGTGCCAACCATTGCCAACTGGGAAAAGTGGACACCTAGTAGCTGAGTGCTTGCAAGGAGAGAACAAAAAGTGAGTCTCTTTAGAATTTGTAGTCCCCCTATTACATTCATAAATCCATTCACTTCAAGAGAGCACATTAATTAGTTAAACCTTCACTTTCACTAGCGTATTCATTTTGAGAAAGTCATCATATTCGGAATATTACTATTTAAATATTTAAAAAGTCAGTTGAAAACTTTAAAAAACATAGTATTTCTTTTCGCGTCATCATAATGGATAAGAATCTTACACGATTGTGTTTGATATGACATAATAAAGTAGTCACGTGTTTAGTTACTGCAAAATATACTACTACTATTTTTTTTACCAAGAAAAAGGGATTATGCTATCCTTACTTACAAACGAAAGTCATATTTTTACAACTATTCCAACTACTTTATTTCATATCACTTGCTCCAACCAGAATTGACAATATTATCAATGTTTAACACTAATATTCGAAAATTCACCAAAATTCTGCCAATGCTGACATTTTTATCAATTTTCAAATTATATTTTTTTGAAAAATATATTTGTGTTCACCAACCAAGAACTGAAAATAGCCACAACAACCAGGAGCGCAAGAATCAAAATCACCATGGACTTGTCTAAATAATGAACATCTTCAGAGGTTAAAGGTTCATCCACTTGTTTAAATGATAGAAACTTTGTTGGTCGAACAAATCGCCACTAACCGAGGACAGCAAAATCTTCAACCCAGTATTCTACTATTCTGAAAATTAAAAGCAACTGGACAAATTCCACCATGCTAGAACTTAAGAAATTATGGAGTTGGACAATATAGTTAACATATTCCCATGATAAAGCCACAAGATGGTCAAGATTTAGGGACTGAACAATGTTATGAGGCTCATAGGAAGTACACCAAAAAAAGGATAAATTAAGAACTAGTAGAATAGATACCACTGAAAATAGATATTGTCTCTGGAACAAGAGTTAAGAGTCACTTTGCTAAACCTAATTGGCTAAATGTCTACAAGCGCATTGCTCTTAATCACACTAATGCAAGAGTTGGTATGTACTCAAGACTTAGTATTGTTAATTACTCCCTACTTTCACTTTTACTTGACTACTATGGATTTTGCACACCGCTTAAGAAATAATAAATGAAGTGTATAATTTACCATGATACTCATATTAATATTGATGCATATTTCTAATGGATTTGAGAAAACAATTTAAAATGAGTAATTAATATTGTGGGTATAACTGGAAAAAAAGAAATTGTCTTTTCTTGCTAAAAGTGACAAGTAAAAGTAAAAATCTAATTTTAAAAAATTGGACAAGTAAAAGTGAAAGGAGGTATATATGTGTGTAGTTCAAACTGAAAGCAAGAGCCTGTCTTTAAATATCAAATTTTCACTTTCTGGAGGCCCTTTCAACTTTGGTGTCAATTTCCATAATAAACTACTTATGTTGTTCGGAGTCTTCAGAAATGTCGCCGAGTGTGTGTCGAATCCTTCAAAAGTACTGTATTTTTGGAAAGTCGACATGGGTGCGGCAGTATTTTGGAGAGTCTGAGCAACATAGATAATAAAATTGAAAAGGTGTATTCAAGTAATAATTTATTTTCTTTCTGAAAACAATTGGCATGCACTATAGGAATCACTTTGAATCACACACCAGATAACCTATTTTCTCTTGGAAATTTGCAGGAGTTTTCTACTGTGGGGCACCAGCACTGACGAAAGAGTTAAGACAGCTAGCCTTGGATTTTTCCCGTAAGACATCCACAAAGTTTGATTTCCATAAAGAAAATTTTTGACCAAAGATGGATGAGCAGAGGATCAAAGCAAACAGATAGACTCATTTTTTAAAGAAATCCACATCCACTACGTCTTGTGTGTAGAAATCTTGCAGATTTAGTTAATATTTCGGTTTTGTATTGTCATACGAATAATAGTTTTTTTGTATAACGTAGGTCCACCTACCTCTGAGTTGGATTACCAATTCTACTATTGGATTAGTTCTGCATTATTATCACTTAGCACTTAGCTTAGTTGAGTTCAATTTTGTTATTGTTTATTCCCCTTTCAAATGGAGGGGCTATGAAAACACAGTAGTATAGTTATCGATGGTGCAATGGGAAGCAGACCGACCAATCACATTATTACTGACCCCAGCATGTATATGTTCAATAATTTTCCAGTAATAATTGTACCCTAGTATCCTTTACATGTTTAAAAGTTCTGAATAACTATATATATTCTCACAAACTTTACGACTAACATTCTTTTGTCTTGGAGTATACAGCAATGTAGTGATCACTCAGAGTCACCAAACCAAATTTGTTTGAGCAAAAAAGTATGAGATCTTTTTTGTTTAAATTAATTAAATAAGAAGATGGAGGGTAAATTCTAGTTAAGGATAATTAACTCTAGATCCGAGATAAATAATATGAATAGAAAAGCATAGCTGAGTATGAATGCTGGCAGTGACTATGGCCAGATTTAATAGCATAAAGAGAGATGCATTAAGTAACATCAAATGGCAATAGAATGTAAATAAAGGAAAAGATTCGCCCAATCTTGAGTGAGACGGGTCCTCTTTCATTTGATAAAAGTGAATGATAGACAAATACAAGAACCTTAAGACCCTTTTTTGGATTTGATGAAGGTATGGGATCACAGATCCTCTAATCTCTTTAGAGAGGTGTGTTTACATATTTTCTAGAGAGAGGGAGAGGGAGAGAGAGCCTCCTTTTTTGGGAAGTCCTCTCTTCCTATTTATAAGGGGTATCCATAGAAAATCCTAAAAAAGTACAATTAAAAGGAATATTCAATAGAATATTCTCTTTGAGGATCCCAAAGCAAACTAGCTGTTTCATCACTGTCCGACCTCGGCCTTATTGATGATTGTCCGACTTCGGCCTTATTGATGATTGTCCGACCTCGGCCTGTTGTCTCCGCGTGCCGAATTTCTCTGATCTGATTTTGACCCACACAGTTAGTCCCTCCGCTTATCGAGGTCGTCTCTTGGTCGATCTCGTTGAGCGGACTTCATTAATCGTAGTTCGAGAAATTCGAATGGGGAGGTCGACTAGTGTGAATCGCGGCTGAGGGTGCCGATCTTTATGTCAAAGTGGTATCACCGCGGGCTGAACTTGAGAAGAGTTTGATCAGGGCCAATGACTCGAGTGATGAGTCGATCGAGAAGACGGTAGAGTTGGAGAAGGCCGTCGAGGCCAGTATGGTGGCTTTGGCAAGGATGGAGGCATCGGAGGAGGTCATTCGCGTCCTTGGATCTGGACGGGTGAGGAGGCCGAATGTTAATTCGAGCGAGGAAACCGAATTTTAATTTGGGCGAGGTCGCCGAATGTCAATTTGGGCGAGGAGACCGAATGTGAATTCGGACGAGGTCGCCTAATGTGAATTCGGACGAGGCCGGAGTTGATTCGGACGAGGCCGAAGTTTGATTTGGACGAGGTCGAAGTCGATTCAGACGAGGCCGAAGGTTGATTCGGACGAGGCCGAAGGTTGATTCGGACGAGGCCGAAGCTGATTCGGATGAGGCCGAAGCTGATTCGGACGAGGCCGAAGGTTGGTCCGGACAAGACCGAGGTTGATTCGGACGAGGCCGAAGTTGATTCGGACGAGGTCGAAGTCTTCTTTTTGGCGATGGCCTTTGGTCGTAGGGGTGTTATTTCGAGCTAAGGCTGAAATGTTAACCCGTTGTAATTCGAGCGAGGTCGAATTCTTCTTTTTCGCGATGGCCCTTGGCCATAGGGGTGTTATTTCGGGCTAAGGCCGAAATGTTAACCCTTTGTAATTCGAGCGAGGTCGAATTCTTCTTTTTGGCGATGGCCCTTGGCCGTAGGGGTGTTATTTCAAGCTAAGGCCGAAATGTTAACCCGTTGTAATTCGAGCGAGGTCGAATTCTTCTTTTTGGCGATGGCCCTTGGCCGTAGGGGTGTTATTTCGGGCTAAGGCCAAAATGTTAACCTGTTGTAATTCGAGCGAGGTCGAATTCTTCTTTTAGTGATGGCCCTTGTTTTACTGGAGAATATTGGGTGTTCCCTGAGGGAGTCCCAGTTTTACTTAGCTTCTGCATATCTTAGGTAAGTCCCGGTTTGCTTAATTTTGCTTCTGCTGGGGAATACGATGCGTTCCCTGGGTGAGTCCCAGTTTGCTTAATTTTGCTTGCATTGGAGAGTACGACGTGTTTCTTGGGTGATTGCTCCCGCTTCTATTTCACTTAGAGAAAGAGTCAGTTAAAACAAAATGAAAGCGTTCGTTTCCTCGATTTGATCGGTCGACGAGTGGAGAGGAGTAACCATGTTCCTTTCTCTGGTTATGCTTTTAGTGGTCGCTACCAATTTGGCAACAAAGGGTTGTTCCGCCGAATAAAGAGGAATATATGCGGAAAACACCCTAAATCTTAGAGGGAGAAGGCAAGCCCTCGTCAAGTACAATCCCTACATTCATCTTCACGAAGACGTCTGAATCGACAAACTTTCCGGCACCATCGTCTTCGCCGATTTCCTCGCCGGGAACGTAGAGGCTCAATTTAGTAGCTAATAACAAGAAAACCTTGGTCCTTCGCTTTTGATTTACCTAACATACAATAAGTAAAGATAACACAGTTTTCAAGCAGATAGATAGGTTAAAAGGCGTGGAATCCTTCTCTAGCTATGCTTGCCAGCTGTAGAATGACTTTAACATATATGTGTATTAATGAGGCGGTTTGACCTTGATGCTTCTTACCACAGAAAATAGCACCTGGAAGTCATAATCCAACATCCAAGCAAGATAGACAGCAAGTGAATACATTATTATAATGAGTGAACATTGGATCTACGGCCCAACATATCCTCAAGATTTAGAGTTGTAAAACTATTGATATTAAGATAGATTTGTGAGACAAGATGAACATGCTTACATCAGACACATGATGCAAATATCACAAATAAAGGATTAAATTAGAAGTCATTTAAGATGATTTGGCTTCTGCTCCTTAGACATACAATGTACCGATATACTTGACACTGTTGAAGGTGCTCAAATAGGACGTAATGAATCTAAAATTAAACTGAAGGAGGTTGATTTAAAAGATATACAACCTCTAGAAATCAATGCCGCTAAGAACAGAACTCAAAGGAAAGAAAGGATCTATATGGGTGATCCAACTAATTGAGATTAACAAAAAAATTATTTTGTTCCTGCACTAAAATTATGTCCATTTGTTTACCAAAATGTGTTTGGTCTAATTAGAGAATTGCATGTCGGCTGGAAGCCAGAAGCCTTGAGCTTGTCTATGAATTTCTCAAGTTTGCATTTGTAACGAAAGGATGACACCACGACGAGTAGAAAGTGGAACTAGAATTGAATTTAGATCTAGAGGAAATTAAAATTTTAACTAGAAAATCCCCACAGACGGCGCCAAATTGTTTGAGCAAAAAAGTATGAGACCTTTTTTGTTTAAACTAATTAAATAAGAAGATGGAGGGTAAATTCTAGTTAAGGGTAATTAACTCTAGATCCGAGATGAATAATATGAATAGAAAAACATAGCTAAGTATGAATGCTGGCAGTGACTATAGCCAGATATAATAGCATAAAGAGAGATGCATTAAGTAACATTAAATGGCAATAAAATGTAAATAAAGGAAAAGATTCACCCAATCTTGAGTGAGACGGGTCCTCATTCATTTGATAAAAGTGAATGATAGACAAATACAAGAACCTTAAGACCCTTTTTTGGATTTGATAAAGGTATGGGATCACAGATCCTCTAATCTTTTTAGAGATGTGTGTTTACATATTTTCTAGAGAGAGGGAGAGGGAGAGAGAGCCTCCTTTTTTGGGAAGTCCTCCCTTCCTATTTATAAGGGGTATCCATATAAAATCCTAAAAAAGTACAATTAGAGGGAATATTCAATAGAATATTCTCTTTGAGGATCCCAAAGCAAACTAGCTGTTTCATCACTGCCCGACCTCGGCCTTAGTGATGACTGTCCGACCTCGGCCTTATTGATGACTGCCCGACCTCAACCTGTTGTCGCCGCGTGCCGAATTTCTCTGATCTGATTTTGACCGGTACAAAAATTTTATTTTTTAGAAGTATCTCTTTATTTTTATAAGTTTTCTATGCAGAACCACCCTTTTGGAACAAACATGCAGTTAACAAATACATGTGTTGCTCCAAAGAAAATTAATGAAAACTAAATAGACATGACCGGAACTTTGTGTCGACCTTCATTACAAACTACTGAATATAAATGCCTCGCCATTCATGGACCTTTACTACAAACCGGGCTTGTATGTATGGTCTTAGCTGTAGATTGCAGTTACGAGTTCACTAGATAGACAGTTTGGGATGAGTGTGATTAAAGAATATTAATCCGAGGATTCATAAAAAGGATATAACATGAATCTCTTTCACAAAACTAAAAACTACTAAGATTACTAGAATCCATTTTTGCTGCATGTGTTACCAATTTTCTGTCAGTCGTAGCTTATTACCTTGCTCTAAGGCTGTTGGAAGGAAAAGAAGAGACTATCAACATTGAGACATCAAAAAAGTGAAACGTCAAATCCAGCAAGAGGACTAAAATGAACTTAACAAATGAATCTACGACGGCCTATATAAGCAACTCGAAAATTATAGAAGAATCCAAATTATATGGATCTATCTCATTGTACATTGTCACACATTGCCTGTTCCGAGGAAAAAAAAAAATATAAACTTTTGGGAAAATGTTTGCTGCCCTGGCCATTTGGTAAAGCAAGGGGGAAGAAGTGCATAGCACCTAACTCTAAACATCCAAGTCCTTCTAGCACTCACTACTTCGCCCATCACTAATTATCACGTCTAGTCCTTCTACGAGGAGCAGCGGCAGCATCCTCATTCTCCTCTTCTTTCTCCTCTGTAGCTCCTTCGCTGTTAGAAGTTGATGCCTCAGCACCATCACTTTTCTTAGGCTCTGCAGTAGCTCTTGCCTGCACAAGCAAGAATTCTTTTATCAAAAACATATCCGTTACAAGCACGAAAGCAGGTGGGATATTTCTTTCTTTTTCCTTTTTGCTTTGGGGGCGGGAATGGGGGAAAAGCTGAGGCTGAGTTCGGACTTACAGGTTGCTGTTTCTTCCCGCCAAAGATGAGCTTCAGGAG